TACTGGCTCCATCCCCTCCTCTTTGACCTGTCTGTCTCCTCTCCACCCATCTTCTCCTCTATCCATCTTCTATCCGCCTCCCCCTCTCTCCCTATTTATTTCAGAACCCCCTTCCCCTCCCCCATTTCTGAAGAAGGGTCTAGGCCCGAAACGTCAGCCTTCCTGCTCCTCTGATGCTGCTTGGCCTGCTGTGTTCATCCAGATCTACACCTTGTTATCTCAGATTCTCCAGCATCTGCAGTTCCTACTATCTCTGTGTCAGAAGTTCTGTTCAGTTTGACATCTGGCTCTGACCCAACTGGAATAATTTCAAGAACTCTCCATGTGTAAGTAAAGGGTGACTTGGTGATGGGATACCAGCCTCTGTGGAGTTATTTCAGTGATTTACATATGCTTCTTTCAATTTTGTATTCTGTATTCATTGCTCAGAATCTGGCCAACTTTACTCTGAGGAGATTAAAGGTAGGCTGGGTGTCTCATCTGTGGAACATCTCCATTCATTCTGCTTGTGTGACCCTCAGGTTATGCTGCCTTGCCATATTAATAATCCTGTCCTGCCTAAATCTCTCACTGACCTTTCTGCCCTGGATCTGCAACGTTCCAAACAAAGCTCAATTTACATTCACAGCACAAACAGAAACTTACTTTTCAATGTGATGCCTTACTGTCTTCTGCACTCAACATTATGATCATTTATTTTAGACGGTAACCTCTGTACCCATTTTCTTTCATTTTTCTTTGCAGGTTTTGGTTTTAACTCATTTTACTTTAATTTTGCTTTCCAGTGACAACTGTTCATCATTACGCCATTTATATCTGTTTTAGTTGCACTATTTATTTCTTTACTGGGCTGGAAATTTACGGTCTTCTTTGGGTGGGATATTGAGGGGGGAATTGAAATGTCTGTCATGCCAGCATGCCATGGTTGTCACTTATTTTTCCCTGCTGCAATTTTACCTGTGGCAGGGGAAACATTGGGTTTCACTTAATTGCCACTTAAGAGCCTCATCCTGCTGCCAATCACTTGTGGTGACAGAGGTGCATATCTGTTCACTAAACTATCCAGTAAAAACTAGTAAGCCCTAGGTTTTGGGGATGGGGGACATAATCTCCTAAATTCTATGCCCTTTAGAGGCTACGTTACATGGCGTGAAGACTCCCACTCGCATATCTCCTTGCTTAGCATTTTCATCCACGCTTCCCCGCCACCCTCATTCCAGAAAGTCACCAGACTTGCTTTTCATCCATGATTCAATGCTGATTGCCTTCCTTTCATCCTTATTGCAGTTTTGGCAGTGGCTATTGCTTGTACTGATGCTGCTGGGACATGAGAATTGCCTGCCCCTGATTGGCCAGCAGCTTTCAAAGGCAGGACTTTCTCTTGGTAAGGAATGGAAATGTCACCTTAATGGTTATGGAGCAAAACAGCAAGCAGCAGCTAGCTAATTCCTGATATTTATGCAAGGAAGCTGAACCAGCAGCCCAGTTTAAAATTCAGCCATTACAGCTCTCTTTTAGTCTTGCCACTGAAACCATTCTGTTCTTTAATCTCTCTTACATGCTCCCCTAATCCAGATCCTTCTTTTTGTTCCTTTCCCACTGTGCCTTCTTTCACTGGCTTAAAACCTAGTACGTTGCTAACTTTTCCTCGTTCTGATGAAAGGCCATTGACTGGAAACATTCACTATGTTACCCTCTCCACAGATGCTGCCTGTCCTTAATACTTTCTCATATTTTCTATTTTCAGTCCCTTTAATTTTTGATTGCAAAATTGCCAGCTTTCAGTATTTATACGAAAATAATTCTCAGGATATGGACACTGCTAGCAATGCTGACATTTAAAATCCATCCTGGGTTGGTTTTGAAAGAGTGGGGGTAAGCCAAGTACTTGAGCTTTGCATCAATGTAGCAAAGATAGCTCAACTATACAGTTAGACTAGGACTTTCTAGATTTTGACCCAATAATAATGAAGAAATGACAATAAACATACAAATTAGAAAGATGTATGATTTGGAAGGCAGTGCAACTGCTGCCCTTGTCTTAGGTGGTGGATATTGTGGGACTGGGAGGTGATGTCAAAAAAAATCTTGGCAAGTTGTTGCAGTGCATCTTGAGGATACTGTACCACAGTGTACAGGTACTGAGGGTACGGATTTTAAGGTGATGGGTGATTTCTGTGATATTGGGTTTTTGAGCATTTTTGCAATTGCACCCATCTGTGCAAGTGAAAAATATTCCCACATACTTCACTTGTTTGCTGTTGTTAAATCAATAAAAACATGACTTAATAGATGTAAAATAACTTTTAAAAGACTTGAACTTAGCAGAACCAGATATGGGGATGTTACATAGTAGTTTTCTGTGTAACATTACTTATTCACTAATTGTCCAATATTTTCATGGAAACTGGGTCTGTCAAGGCAACAGTGCCATCTTTAGTATTGAAAGAGAACGTCATGCATAGGTTTTACCATACACCATTACTCCACAAAGCATTAGCCCTATGACTTGAAGGATATCATGTTGTACATTATCCTTTCTAAATTTTAAGAGGTGTTATGATCTTGTTAGGTGCCCTTAACATTTAAAGGGAAATCCAAACACCCCATACTAGATCACAAGATTTCACATTTTTAAACAATTACAGATTTCATTATACAGAAAATACTTAAACAAAACAAACACAATTAACAATATGGTTTATAACAATTTGTGTGACGCACTCTGTCTTACTTCTTACTTGCCTCAACAATTCTCATACTTTATATCTTAGATTATTTACTTCTGTCAGGGCCGCTTGAAAGTATGCCATAGTCTACTTTGTTAAAGCTATTCTTAGTGATAAGATTTTAATTCATTCTTGCTTAACTGCCGATGCTTCAGTCCCTCACTCTTTTTGCCTTCTCAAAGGCAAAAGCTAACCTGCTGGTTGCTTTCTTTTATCACATTACTTTGAGATCTACTGTAAATTTTTTTCCATTAGCTTGAATCTTCCAGCTTCTTTTCTCAGGAAATCCAAACTAAGATTAAGCACTTCTTGCATTCCATGCAGAAAATTATGAAATTAGCTTTTCCTCTGTTCATTGTACAGGCCTACCAACTGTCATTTATTCTGTCTGTCTTCTCTTAGTGATCCGTAAAGTGCATGCACTAAATCCAAGCGCAACTATCACAGCAAGCACACAGGTACATTGAAAGCAGAGAAATCTCCAAGCTTTACCCATCCAAAGATGTGCAAGTTAGGTGGATTGACCATGCTAAATTGACCATTGTGTATAGGGATGTGCAGGCTAGTTAGATTAGCTATGGTAAATGGGGGTTATGGGGATAGCGGGGGGACCGAGTCTGTGTGGGATGCTCTTTGGAAGGTCAGTGTGACTTGATGGGCCAAATGGTTTCTTTCCACATTTTAGGGATTCTATGATTTTATCTCCACTGCACTGTAGCATGCTTTGGCATGCCCTGAAACAGACCTCTGGTTTAAATATCCCTCATTTAAAATTCTTAAAATTCCTTCTTTGATCTGGTGGAAAAAAATGATTTTACAACTTCAGAGTTTACCAAATGCTTTTAAACTAATTTTGCATGAACTCACAAAACACAAATATCGCTCTGGACTTCACTTACAGCAATGCTGGAGACATCATGTCACCAGTCCTTTGACCAAACAAGCCCACCTCCTGATTATGACCTAAAATTTCTAGCTGTTAACTTCTTAAGTCAACACTTTAGATGTAATAAACTCTAAACTCATTTTAATTACACTTATTTCAGGGCTGCTTTTTCTACAGTTAAAATTTTAATTCCTGAAAGTGTAAGTTATATTCTTCAACACATGAACAATTAACTAAATATTTATTACATGTTAATGCATGCAAAGACATATTCACAAGGTTTATACTTCTGTTTGTTCTTTCCTTACCTGTTCCTTCTCAGAGTATAAATGTGCACAAAGGAATTCGACAGCTCCCATTGTAATAATGGCATCAGAAATACCTTCTCTAGTCTGAGTAAGAGAAGACAGCAGCTGTCCTATAAGGTCATCAATAATTATACAAATGGATTAAAATATTATTACTGTACAGAGTAACCTCTTTAATTCAATTAATCAATAGATCCTGTGTATGAAATAAATTTGAGAATCAAGTATTATTAAATAGCATAAAAGTTCTTGAAGAACTGTGTATATAAATTTAAGAGATGATCTAGAATGAGCAATAAATGAAATTAGTCTAATATCAATTTAGGATTTGCATATGGACAATTGGTATTTCAAACAAGGAAACCATTGGCAATGAGTTCAGCTATAAATTCAAAGACCTCCCATCAATCACTCTTTAGGTTCATAGATCAACATAAAGTAGCCATAGTCTTGCCAGACCATAGTGCTTCTCTCTCATTAGAGAGAGGCAACTGATGGTGGTTTAACCTGAAGGTCACCAAACCTCAGGCTAGGGAAGATTTTGAGTTGGAGAATCCTTTACAGTAACCTCAACCTGTATTGAGTGTGTTGTAAACCAGCCAGCCAACTGAGCTAAATTCAGTTCTGAGTAAACTTGTAAATAACATATGTGCTTGTTCATTCAGGTCCAGATTTCTAGTGCTGTCAATAAATGCACTCATCCAACAATAATTCCTATTGGTTCTGATTAAACAAAAAGGTAACAGAAATGTCTACCCCAATATAATGAGATCAAACTTCAAATTTTGTCTACTTTTGGAGTTTGTTTTTAGAAAATCAATTTTTTAAAGCTGTCTTCATATTCTATATTAACTGAGAAAAGAGAGCACAACGAAACATCTACATAAATGTCATGAAGCTACAAAAAAGCTCATGTAAGTAGAATAGCTTATGTTGTAAAAGGTATGCAAACAAAATAATAGTATAAAGAAGAAAATGATAGGAAGGAAAAAAGGAATGATAGAACAAATAATTTTGGTTAAAATGTAATATTTTGGATATTTATTTTAATTATTGAGGACTGATATCACAATCACAAAGTTGCTTTTGATACTTTTCAGTGTCACAGCATATATGTATTGCAAAGTCAGGTGGAGTGCTTGTGAATTAGAAAGCAGGATGTAAGAATTTGTTGGTAAAAATGATGGGGGGAAGAGTGTATGGTCCCTTTAAGAGGTGATGTTCTTTTCTAAGTTTGGAAATTTAAAAAAGTCTGCAAGCAGCTGCAGATGCACAGACAGTTCTGAAATTGAAAAATATGTATCAATCAGCTACGTGGTTGGTAACCTAGGCTTGTTTTGATATTAAGGCAACAAGCTTGAATATCAGCAAATAATTTAAACCAGGCACTTAGAGACTAAAAACTAATTGAATTTAAATCTGATGGTGTTGACAACCTAGGACCAATCCTATTATAAGAAAATTGACAGGTCATCAGGGGTATTTAAGAAGAGGGTTTATGATAATCAGTGTGACAGTGAACTGCCATCGGAAGAATGAAACTCTGGCTCCCAAAAAAATCTTTAAGCTCTCTGATTAAGCACCATCTAGAAAGTACTACAGTACTCTTAGCTAATATTCCTGACATAAAGATTCAACAATGAAAGAATTCCTGACTGAAGAATAGCATAAAAGGCACAGAACATTCTGAAAGATGCATGCTGACTATAGTTTTGAGAGTCTAAGTTTTAATTTATTTTTCTTATTACTTTGGTTTATGTAAGTGGGATTTGTATTTATTGGAACAGCATGACATTAGAATTTTGTTCTGTTTGGGAATAGTTAATAAAGTTAAGGGGAGTTGTTTGGTTTGTTAGTAGGCCTGTTAATTTGTTCACTGTCAGAGAGTTAGATAAATAAATTGTTAGTTGTTGCTTATGAAGTGAGTATCAGGGATTTCTTTCATTTAACCTCTCCTTCATTATAGATTGGGGGTGAAAGGCAGGTTATACCATTTTTCCCATTTCTTTTAGCAAATTACAAGGCAAGATGAGCTTTTCTGGGTGTTTCGGTTTTAATTATCAGAAGGGTTTCAACCTCCACTCTATAACAAAAAGGTGAAGTCTTTGAGAATGACTTGGTTCAGGTAAGAGGGACTGCTATGTACATGCTGGAAGTCTAAATACTAAGTTTTCATTTTTTTTAATCTCCTTTTGTCCAGATTTCTCCCTTACTTTCTTATCCTGAAGCCAGTGAGTTTTCAATTAATGAGTGCCCTTCTGATACTGGAGAGGGGCGTCAGGTCATTGCATTTACCAGTCCCAAGGCGGGAACAAAAATGGTGGCTTTAAATATTACACAACTGACCTAATTCTGGGATTACCAGCCCCATTCTAAGCACTAGCATTTTTTAATTGGTGCAGGATAAGGGAGATGGCTAAAATCCCAAACAGTGATGTCTCTTTCAGCTGGCACAATTACAGAAGTAGGCTTTTCAGATCTTCCACAATTTTGATGAAGTGGGGTGAGTTTTGGAAGGTGACATGATTTAAATCAGCACAGAGGTCTCATGAACTGTGGAGGGAACCTGGTTTAGAAGCAGGAAACAAGTGGAAGGTAAGTACAGAAGGTGTTGAAAAACATAATGTCATAATGCTTTATCATGAGGCATATACATTTTTTAATACAGTGAGTGATAATAGGACTTTGTTTTGAAATGGTAAATAGCTATTATGTGGCTTCCAGTTTGTCACTTCTGACACCTGGCAAGCTGTCAAGGAATTGAATAGCATTCTGAAAATGGAGAAGTCTTTAGACACATTAGAGTCCCATGTCTAGTTGATAAATTGTTATTCTGCATTGTGCAATAGTGGAATCCAGATCTGATGGTGTGAAATATGCCACTACGCTTTGAAGTTTCTCCTTGACATTCAACTCAGTCACAAACACTGAAAATGCTGGAGAAACTCAATGGGTCTGGCAGCATCTGTAGAGAGAAACAGAGTTAACAGTTTGAGTCCATGACTTTTCTTTGGAACTAAAAGGGGTTGGAAAGTGATTTTAAAAAAAACTTTTGACAGTGTTTGCCCATATTTGTGCCCCACTGTTCCATAATTCATCACAAAATGTAGAAATGTATAAAGTCCCAATGAGAACATTAAAATGACCAAATTTCCTAACTGACTGCTATTCAGGACAAAAGCAAACTACATCCTATTTTCTTACAGTAATGCTAAAAATAATTCTATTTATTGTAACATACAACTTTAACAATAACAGTAAAAGAAAAAATTAAAAATTTATGCCCTGTAGGCTATTCCCCCATCAAAAACCCAAACACACACATGTTTAATCACAATTAAGATAGACAAAAGACAAATGGATAAACACATATACTATGGGTATAAAAAAAATGGCAGATTTACACATTTATACATTTTATGACGACGTGTGGGTCAGTGGGCCACGATTATTGGCTCACTCTCTTCCCAATTAAGGCATGATATCAGAATATTGGCACCCAGAAGACAGTAACTAAAGGAAGGTAAAAGGGTGGATGACTAATTTCTGCTGGTTAATTTGAATGGGTTACTGCAAAGATGTCATAGAAAAGTTTTTGTCTTTGGCTTTTATTGTTAGATAGGGGCCAAGCGGATGCTATTACTGAGTATCTTGGATGGATGTAATGCTGGGTCCCTGTTAATCACTGAAGCTAGATAGTCCACTACCTCACAGTTTGTCTGATTAAAAGGGGTCCAGGATGCCTCCTCTGCCTCTGCCTGCTCTTCTTCCTCCTCCTTTTCCTAAATAGGCTTCCAGATCCTTGAAAGTAATGCATGCAGTAATAATGTGGAGGGTGTGGAGGGTGCAGAAGATTTCCAGGAATTTCGAGACCTATTCTGTCAAATGATGCATTTCTCCCCAAGTGAAGTGCTGGCAGCAGACATGTTGTTTCAGTAGCCAAGTTAATTGTTTCACCTTAATGCAGCTAACTGAATAGATGAATAATGTGCTGATAGCGGAGAAGATTGGATGTCTCAAATCAGAATTAGAAGAAACCTTGCTTGTTTGAATATTACAATGTTTATAAGGGATAGAGATTTGATTTTGTTATAATATTTGGCAGTGACTTGAAAGACTGGTGCTAACTGGGATCAGAAAACTATGCATGCCATAACCAGACTTATGACCAAATATAGTATCAATCAACCTCTAATGTGAACAAGTTATTTATTAGCTATCAATAAATGCCTGAGGTAGATGGCATCTTAATACAAAACTAAATTCTGCAAGATCAATTGATCTCTATAGCATTACAGTCTGTTTGTATTTTCATGGACAGCTTTAAAGTTACAGGTAATTTTAGCGCAGCTGAAAACAACGTAACTATGTATTTTACCTACTACAATGACTGTTGATGCCTTCTTCGACTTGAGCAGATTTACTAAAGTTATAATACCTGTTGCTGAGAGCGTGACCTCATCCATACCTACAATCACCTTAGCTAATATTATCATCTGCATCAAATAGAAAAAAAAACAAGCAGCTTTCAGATTAATTAGAATGTATTTCATGGCTCAATGGGCTAAATGATCTTTTCTTATTCTACACAACCGCATATTCTTTAACTTCTGTAAATTTCATTCACATCTAAATGTCCATCCACATAGTGGCCGGTTAGTCACCTATTTGCAAACTTCACAGTGTCAAGTTTCATTATAAATATTACAGCATATTTTATCATTTGAGTTTGAGCATTTGATTCTAGATAGCACATTCAATCAGTCATGCAGCTGCTTTTTTTTCTGCTAGGAATAAAGTGTATCTACAAACGTTTTGTATTTGTCTACCACACATGTAATTTCTTATTTCTCATCCCACTTCAGCTTGCAATGTGTCAAAAAAAGATTGCATTATAAAACCAATTTAGTATTTCAGAAAATCTTAAACAACTAGAAATATTATCATCAAAATATCAGTTTAGAAATATGAAAAAGAAACCCACAGAGAAAAGTAACATCTTAATGTGTTGTAACCAATGGCATTTTTCACAGTGGAAAGAATTGTGGATGAAGCCTAAAGCTTCCTTGTCCTGCTTTACACTGTCCCTCCTGGTGTAGAGAGCTTTGGTGACTTCTTTGTATTTTAGTAGATTGCAAATTTTGACATTGTCTTTGACGTCACATGCTACAGCTTAAAAGGAGTCCATGGCAAAAAGTTTAAGGGCCATTGCTGGTGGGGTGTGCATGTGCTGCTATAGGCTCAAGCTGTGACTACACCAGGTAACAAGTCATGGTGGCGTCAACAGCTTCTTTTGTGAAGCAAAAGCGCCTTAGACATTGCTTCTCTGTAAAATGAATGTAGGACCGCCTGCTGATAAACCACTGAGAGTATGGCCACTTGTATAAATGGACACACTGCAACTGATTTTCTAGGGCATAAAGATGATTGGCAATGCTAGTCAGACATATAAATTGACTGGAATACAGAGCTCGTTCCTATCGAAGCATACCTGAAATGCAGCATTAACCTGGTCCAGCTCTTCTGAGGATTGTAGAAGATTTTGGAACACTGATATCTCAATACCCCCACACTCATGTATCAAAACCTGTAACTTTGGATTATTCATTGCAAAAAGGGCTAAAGCACTGGCTGCTCGTGAACAGACATCCTAAAAAAAAGGTAAATAATGTTTTACTTGTCATAAGTCAATTCATCAAATTTAATACAGCAACAGAAAACTAAGTTTAATTGATTGTGAAAAATATTTTCATGGAAATTAATAAATGCAATTATACTAATTGTACATAAAAGAATTGGAAGGTCTTGCCGCATAGTAGTAGGATCCCTACTTCTGGGACAGTAGCTCTAGATTCTAGTCCCATGCTTTGACTTGTTGGCTCTGGAAAGTATGTCCAAATTGTGGCCAAACAGATTCAACAACAGCCTATAAGTACTTCCAAAATGCTGGCGGTAAAAGTGGGAGCGATTGCCTGGTCAGCCACCCTGCACAAAGGCAATGGCAAACTGTTGTAGTTTGTTGCTCATTGGTTTGGACTAATCCTATAGATGTCAACCTTTGTCAAGTCAAACATAACGCTTGGAAGTAAGGATGGGAGAAAATACAGACAAACATAATGGAATTTTACAACTGAACTCCACTTGTGTTAAGAAATAAATGTAATTAATTTTAAATTTATACAATAATGCTCTTAGAGGTGTGTCTGCAATCTTTAAAGTGCAGCAATATTCCTTAAATTTTGAAGCATAGTTGAACTTATGGAGAAGTTTTCACAGATCTAGCTGCTTACTGTATTTTAATATCACTATATTAATTTTCTTGGGTGTACTATTTAGTAAATAGGCAATGTACACAATGATGTTAGTAAGGAAGATGTACTAGGAATTTTGAGGAACTTGAAGATAGATAAGTCCCCTGGGCCTGATGGGATTTATCCAAGGATTCTGTGGGAAGTGAGGAAAGAGATCGCAGGGCCTTTGGCGACGATCTTTTTGTCCTCACTGTCCATGGGTATAGTGCCGGAAGATTGGAGAGAGGCAAACGTCATTCCCTCATTCAAAAAAGGGAATAGGGATAACTCCGGAAATTACAGGCCAGTTAGTCTTACGTCAGTGGTGGGCAAATTATTGGAAAGGGGTCTGAGAGATAGGATTTATGATCACTTGGGTAGGCACAGTTTGATTCGTGACAGTCAGCATGGATTTGTGAGGGGCAGATCATGCCTCACAAACCTTATTGAATTCTTTGAAGAGGTGACCAAACATGTGGATGAAGGTAGAGCAGTGGATGTGGTATACATGGATTTAAGTAAGGCATTTAATAAGGTTCCCCATGATAGGCTCGTGCAGAAAGTAAGGAGGCATGGTATAGGGGGAAATATGGCAGATTGGATTCAGAATTGGCTGACCCTTAGAAGATAAAGGGTGGTAGTGGACGGAAAATATTCAACATGGTTCTCAGTTACGAGTGGTGTACCACAAGGATCTGTTCTGGGTCCTCTTCTCTTTGTGATTTTTATAAATGATTTGGATGAAGGAGTGGAAGAGTGGATTAGCAAGTTCACGGACGATACGAAGGTGGGTCACGTTGTGGACAGTGCGGAGGGCTGTTCTACTTTACAAAGGGACATTGATAGAATGCAGAGCTGGGCTGAGAAATGGCAGATGGAGTTTAACCCTGAAAAATGTGAGGTGATTCATTTTGGGAGGACAAATTTGAAAGCAGAATACAGGGTTAATGGAAAGATTCTTGGCAGTGTGGAGGAACAGAGGGATCTTGGGGTTCATATCCACAGTTCCCTGAAAGCTGCCACCCAGGTGGATAGAGTTGTTAAGAAGGCATATGGTGTGTTAGCTATCTTTAATAGAGGGATTGAGTTCAAGAGCTGTGAAGTTATACTCTAGCTACACAAAAGCCTGGTTTGGCCACATCTGGAGTATTGTGTCCAGTTCTGGTTGCCTCATTACAGGAAAGATGTGGAAGCATTGGAAAAGGTGCAGAGGAAATTTACCAGGATGTTGCCTGGAATGGAGGGAAGGTCTTACGAGGAAAGGTTGAGAGAGCTAGGGCTTTTCTCTTTAGAACAATGAAGGATGAGAGGTGACTTGATAGAGGTGTACAAAATGATCAGAGGTACAGATAGAGTGGACAGCCAGAGACTTTTTCCTCGAGTGGATGTCGCTATTACAAGGGGGCATAGTTTTAAAGTGAGTGGAAGTAGATATAGGGGAGATGTCAGAGGTAGGTTCTTTACTCAGAGTGGTAGGGGCGTGGAATGCATTGCCAGAGAGGGTAGTGGAGTTGGCCTCATTAGGGGTATTTAAGCAGCTATTAGATAGGCATATGGATGATAGTATAAGGTAGTGGTGGAGGTTAGATAGACCTTAGGTTTAGGGTAAAAGTTCAGCACAACATCGTGGGCCGAAGGGCCTGTACTGTGCTGTACTGTTCTATGTTCTAAGTAACACTACTTCATGTTGTGGGAATTCCTACTTTGGATTCTGAAATAACTCCACAGAAGCCAGCATACTGTCACCAAGTCAAAAGTCCTTGACATGATTCAGCCTCGTCAGAGCCAGCTCTCAGAGTGAACAGAGTCTCTGACAATCCTGTTTATATCTGTCAATCAGGGCTCCCCGACTGGACCAAATTAACCGCCCCAATCAGGGAACACATATCCTATTAGGTCCACCTGGCTAACCTCATTACAATCACTCCATCTCTCCCATCTGAATCCGAGAACATAGGCCAGTTCTTTTTTTTGTTGTTGTTCCTTCTGGGCTGTTTTAGCACTGGGTCAGCTTCCTCCAACTTTGCCTTTGAGACAGGTGGCGTGTAACACACAGTAGCTTGTCCATGAATGGACGGGGGGAGGTGCAGACAGTAATTTCTATCCTTGTTGGCACTCTGGGCACTGCCCCATCAATGCAACTATGTCTGCATTCAATCCTGGCCACCAGACATAACGTCTTGCCAGCATCTTTATTTTGAATGACCCTGGTGTTCAGCCAGTGTCTGGTAGCTGCCTTTGCTCGGGAGAATCACTCTTGCCCCCCTTTAATAAAATGTCTCCATAATAAAACAATTACGGATTCTTCTAGTGGCGGTACCACTGGCAGTGTATTTGCCAGTGGAAGGCAGTTCAATGTATCCGCATTTGCTACTTGGCCTCCCTTATGGTGTTCCAACTTGTGATTATACGCACTAAGTATTAGAACCCACTGCTGAATTTTTCCTGAAGCAATGGGCGGCACTGCCTTGTCCTCTTTCAGTAAACTGATCAAGAATTTGTGGTCTGTTATTTTTACAAATTTGTGTCCATGAAGGTATTGGTGACTTCCTGACCGCCAAACATGACCGCTAAACCTTCCTTCTCTATCTGGACATATTTATGTTCTGCATTAGCCAAAGTCTTGAATGCTTATATTAATGGGCGTTCCTCTCCATTGGGCCATCTATGAGCTAATAATAGCCCGATGCCATACAGGGAGTCATCGTACGTCAATGCCAGATCTTGCTTGAAGTCGTAGTGTGCCAACACTTTAGATATGATAGTTATTTCTTCTCAGAAAGTTATGGCTTGTCTAGACAACCATTTCCAAGGCTGACCCGTTTTTAAGAGTTGTTGCAAAGGTGCCAGATTGGAGGCCAGGTTATATGTGAACATTTCGTAATAATTCACCAGCTTAAGGAAAGACCTAAGGTCCAGTATAGATGTGGGAACCGGGGCACCTTTGATTGCCCACACTTTATCTTCCAATGGGTGTGAGCTAGTCTTGTTGACTCTGTAGCAAAATAGGTCACTTGGGGTGCCTGGAACACACATATATTTCCCTTCTAAGGTGTATGTCCAACTATGAGAAATGTCTAAGGATTATGCCCAAGTTCTCTAAATATTCCTTATTGCCTGTTGTTAGGATATCATCTAGATAAATGGCGACTTGGGGTAGACCTTGCATAATGTTCTCCATTGTCTGCTAAAAAATGCACAAGCTAACAATGCCCCAAATGGCAGTCTTCTATATTGGTACAAACCTTTGTGAGTATTATTTGTAACATACTTCTGGGAATCCTCATCTAACCACAATCGCAAGTATGCATGGCTCATGTCCAGCTTCGTGAAGTTCAGCCCTTCTGCCAGCTTAGCATATAAATCCTCTATGTGAGGATTTGGGTATCTATCCAGCTGCAAAAAGTGGTTTAACATTTGTTTAAAATCCACACAAAGGTGAACTAACTTGTCTGACTTCACGATCAGTACGACCATTCTGGAAACTGGACTGGTTCAATAATTCCTCTGCTTTCCAGCCTTCTGATTTTATCCATAAAGCAAATGGCACTGCACAGGCCTTGCAGAATTGTGTAATTCTTTTCTAATCAACATGTAAAGTAGCCTTGGCTCCTTTGATTGTCCCTAGACCTTCCTGAAAAACTTTTGGGTATTTAATTAGGACTTCACTCAGATAGCCATTATGGATTTGAAAAATTTTTAAGCCAATCTAGGTGGATCTTCCTCAACCAATTTTGCCCTAACAAGCTGGGGGCCGAATCTTTTACTACAATCTGTGGTAGGTGAACCAGCTGCTTCTCATGAGAGACTGGACCTGAAGTTGTACCATTAATCTGGAAAGGTTCCGTGGTGTAGGTTCTCAGTCTAGCCAAAGTCTTGCATAAACTTAAGGGTTGGAATCCAGAGCAAATTTTGTTAAAGACAGGTTCTGTTATTACTGAAACGACTGCACCAGTACTGACGTCAATTAGAACTGGACGACTATTTAACCAGATGTTTATTTTGATTGGTTCTGATTTGAGTGTTGCAAAGCACTTTAACTGTTCCAAACCTGATGTAGGTGGACTTTCCAGGGTGTGCACTCTCCTACATACTGGCTTATGAGTTCTCTTACTCAATTTAGATCTAGTGGGATTCTTTTATTGTCCGGAATCTGCATGCTGGCAACAACTACAATGGCTTGTTGGCCTGGATCCTGAAGAAAATGTTAACCATTTGGCTGAGGCCTGTCTTTGTTTGAGAATTTTGCTATGGGCTGACCTAAAGTCCCTTTGTTCAGAATATGCAATTGCCTTCATTCAAGTGGTGTTCTTTAAGTTCAGTCAGACTGGGGAGGCTGTCCACTTCCATCAGAATACCTGGAAATCAAATGCTCCACTTGCTGCATTTTCCAATGATAAAGCCATTTGTAGTGTCTGTTTGAAGACCAGCTAGGCTTCAGGTAGAATGCACTTTTGCATGGTTACATCATTATTCCCACATACCAAAAGGTCTCCTAGTATCTCATTAAAGGTTAAACCAGTCACATGCCTCTGCGCGTCATCTTAACCTCGTCAAAAAGCCTGACACAGACTGCCTTGGTTCTCGAATTGCAGAGTAATACCGATGGCGTCTCAGAATTAGATGAGGCTTGGGATTGTAATATTCCTTAACAAAATCCATCAACTTTCGAAAGGTTTCAGTACTTTTGCCTCGAGGAATGTGAGGCTCCTAATAATCGAAAAAGCTTGTGTCAAGGAGAATTAGTCATTGCTTTTCATCTGCCCCAATGTCATTTGCCCAGCAAAATAACGCATTCTTTCCACATACTGGGCCCAGTCTTCGACAGCAGGACTGAATGAGTCAAGCTTCCCAAATAACAGCATGATGTCAGAAATGCTTTCCCCAACTCAAAGATAACTGTTGCAAGTGAATTTCTTCAGGATCATTTTTTCTCATTGCCACTGAAATAACTCCACAGAGGCTGATATCCCATTACCAAGTCACCCTTTTATTTACGTGTGGAGAGTCCTTGATACTGATCCAGCTTCCTCAGAGCCAAGCTCTCAGATTGAACAGAATCTCTGATTCTCGCCTTTATATCTGTCTGCCATGACTCTTAGAACATAACATAAGAACATAAGAACATAAGAACTAGGAGCAGGAGTAGGCCGTCCAGCCCTTCGAGCCTGCTCCGCCATTCAATAAGATACACTGCACTGAGTATTGACAAATTTTCCCTATCTAATTTTCTGTATTATGAAATCAAAAGTGTCTCCATGCTGACTTAGCAAAACATGGAACAGAAAGTTAATCTGAGACCCACCCGCCTAATCTGTATGAATTTCCTGGAATTCATATTGTAGCTTTGGTGATTTTCTTTCAATCATAATTGAGCTAATTAAAGATATTTTAATGAGCTAAATAATCATTTTGGTAGCTATTTACCACAAAATGCAATATATTAATGAGATATTAAATTAGGATGACAGTGTTGTGACATCACCATTACATGAATGTGGTCCTTCATAAAGTACGGTTCCACCTAATTTTCTGGAGCTTACTTTGTCAGTAGCAGTAAGATGGTTGAGTACAATCTTGATGTTGAAACCCTTTTCCTCCATTAACAGCTTCTGTAGTTCATTGTTTCCCAATACAATGCAGGCCAAGCTGTAGATCACTTCAACCTATACAGAGAAAGTCAAAGTAGAAATTATTGATAAATTATCAGAATAAAAAAACTTTATTTTCTATTCATCAAGTCGTATATCTACATTTAATCATGGACAGTATTTCTAAACCATGACCTCTAGAAAAACACAACTGAACGAGAACATCGCCACCTGCAAATTCCCTCCCAGTAACACACCATCATGAATTGGAACTATATCTCCATTCTTTCACAGTTGTAGGACCACAGTCCTCGTGTTCTCACCCTAACAGCATTGTGGCTGTACCTACTCCACATGGACTGCTGTGTTTTAGGAAGTTGGTTCATCTTCTTGATGAATTGGGATAGGCAATAAATGCTAGCTTTGCCAGCAATGCTCCTATATTATGAATGAGAGAATAAAATAAATCCTTTTTTCGTAAAACTTTACATATTTTCATAGTTTTTATTAAGTTTACTGCCTGGAAAAAATAAAAGCCGCTAAACTATTTCTGAATGTCCTTTGGGAAGGAATTAAGGCATCCTTATCTAGTCTGGGTTGCATAAGATTCCAGTGCCACAACAATGTGGTCGACGCATAAAGACTTGTGAAATGGCCTACCAAGCCAATCCATTCAAGGGCAATTAGAGATGAGCAACAAATTCTGGCCTTGTGAACAAAGCTGACATCCTATGAAAGAATGAACAAATATTGAACCCCAAGAAAACACATAATTTACTTTGAAAATGTAATAAAAGTCATATAAAAATGGAAGACTTAAACATTGTTCACTGAAAATTGCACCAACCAACTATATATTTGAGATGTTTATTAGCACACTCACTCTCGTCTAACCTATGCGACTGCAATTTTTTTGTTTTCGTGTCAAAGGGATATGATGTGCTATCTGCACAGTTCTAGCAATGTGCTTTTGAAATATAAGTATTAATTATTTTTGTCCTCAGCAAAAGAAAATATGCAGTAATTGCAGCAATTACATAAGGACTTTTATTGACTCAGGAGCTATGTTATATTTTATGTATTAAGCTGAAGGTTGACAATGTGGAATGATTCACTTTTGTAGCCAACTGTTTTGATTATATACAGCATTATTCTAGTTAATCTAACAGCTGTTGCTTTCTTTCAATGAAGAGTGTGACAAAGCAACAAAATGTCATACAATTAGAATTTCTCTTATTCAGAACCCTGGTTAAAACTACGTTTTAACATTATTAAGCCATTATTGAATTAAAACAGCAACATAACTTTTGGACACTTTATCTCACATTACTCTGCAATCAACAGCTGAAGAACAGAGCAGCTGGTTGATTGGCTTTAATATCTTTCATTCCCAGCTCTAGTGAAAACAGCTGATCCTTCTTCTAATGATTTTCTTCTGATCCATTGACAAGCTGTTATATGTCATGTTATAGTTGCCATTATGCAATTGGTCTAAGTGCTTTAGATAATAAGAAATTGGGCACTTCTCTAAGCAGGAATTTTCTGCATTGTAAAAAACTTGTAAAATTTACTAATACAGCACAGATTTTCTCTCCTTGTAATAGCATAAAAAATTTTAAAAATAATCTGTGGAAGCACGTAGGTTACTTGGTCCAGGTTCCCATGTTGACGTTTCCAGTTAGCAAGGTGGAGCCTGATGCGGCCTATCATCTGTTCAAGTGGTTAGAAAGAGTAAGCGTTCCTGACATATTACAAACTGACCTTAGTCTGAGAGGTTTGCAAAGTGGGAGGTCATTGGGGTATTTGTCCTGTTCATTGCATAGAAGGGTTCAAATGGATGATTGATGTAGCGTGAATTACCAGCCCCTTGATATATCATCAGGGAGTAAGCTGTTCAGCCTGCTCAACCACTTAATAAGGTTATAGTTGATCCGATTCTAATATCAAATTTACATTGTTGCCTCTTTTGTTTATGGTTTTATGCCAACATCCATAAATTTAGGTTCAAAACATGCTAATTAATGAGAAGGCAGGGTCAAGAACTTCCTTTAGGCTTGTGCTCCTTTATATCGCTTCTTATTCCTTGCCAAGGCTAAACATTAAATACATAGATTCAGAGATCTATACCTGGCTTGGCTGTTATTGTTACATTTTTGAAAGACCATTCTATGAACTCTACCATCTAATGCTAATCAGTCTAGAATCATAGAATCCCTACAGTGTAGAAACAGGCCCTTCGGCCCAACAAGTCCACACCAAACCTCAGTGGATCCCACCCAAACCCACACATCCCTGAACACTATTGGCAATTTAGCATGGCCAATCCACCTAACCTGCACAGCTTTGGACTGTGGGAGGAAACTGGAGTAAACCCACGCAGACACGGGGAGAATGTGCAAACTCCACACAGACAGATAGACAGACACCCGAGGCTAGAATCGAACCTGGGTCCCTGGTGCTGTGAGGCAGCAGTGCTAACCACTGTGCCACCGTGCCGCCCCTAACTACTCTCTGCATGTATTTCCAACTTCAGTATGGCTATACTTTACGCTTTTGCCTTGCTTTCCACACCCAGTAAGAAGTAGTTCATTGACACCGTCAGGTTTGGGTTCTAAAACTCTTACACAAAACTGCTTACCCCTGATAAATTTTACCTCCTTGCTAACCAAGAATCTATCCACCTCTACCTTAAAAATATTCTATTACTCAGGTTCCATTGTCTTTTCAAGAAAATAGTTCCAAAGACTCAGGATCCTTTGTGATTAAAAAAACCATCTTTGTTTTAAATGGGAAACCGCTTATTTTAAAACAATGAACATTGGTTCTAGAATCTCTCATAAGAAAAAACATTCTCTCCACATCTACCTTGTCAAGACCCCTCAGGATCTTATGTGTTTCCATCAAGTAACCTTTAACTCTTTCTAAGCTCCAGGACACATAGCCTGTCCCAACTTTCATCATAAGACAATCTACACATTCCAGGAATTGGTCTAGTAAACATTTTCTCAACTGCTTCCAATCATTTATATCCTTCCTTAAATAAGGTAACCAATCCTGTACATAGTACTCCAGTTGCAGCTTTCTAAATTACTTGATGTTATTGCATATTGGTCTTTTGAGATTGATGCACTCACACACCCAGATCTTTTTGCACCTCAGGGCACTGCAATTTCTCACAGTTGGGATAATATGCTTTTATATGTTTTCTGCCAAAATGGAAAATTGTGCATTTTCCTATATTATACTCCATTTGTCACATATTTGCCCACTAATTTAACCTATCTATATCTATATACCAGTCACTTCCTTTACAATCCTAGGATGAAGTCTACCAGGAGGCTAACAACTCCAACAATTGACTTAGTAAACTTCCCTGGTACTTGTAGTTTTCCTGTGTTTTCCCTCACTTTGATTTCCTAATTATAGCTACTTCTGGGATATTACGTGTATAACCTACAAGGCTAGAGTGAAGACTGATGCAAAATGTCTGTTCAATTCATTAGCTGTCTCTTTATTTTCCATCATCAATTCCTCGGACCCTCTTTGTAAAGTACTAATGCTCACTATAATGAAACTTGATGTAAATGCTTTGATGTAACTTTCCCAGCCCCTGAATAATGTTAACAATGATAGGTCAGTTGGTGAAATATGGTGAGTTGGAGAGATTAGATTCTCAAAGTTGAGAAAAAAAAGTCTGATTTTCGACTCAATTTTTAGTGACAAGAATCTCGCCAGTGAGTGGTGAGAGTCCTATTTTCATGTATTAATATCATTATTACCTAATACCCCTTCATTTATACGTTGTTTGCTACTTTACCAGACAGCGGAGAGAAATTAGGTAGTGACAATTCCAAGCCAGCAATCCTCAGCATCTCAGGCATGCTCCATGGACAGTGACAGCTTGTATCCTTCATTCAAGGAGGTTGGCATTGGACAGACACCAACCACACCACATCATCATGGCACAAATCATTATAATACAGTTCATCACTTCAATTTTGCACTTTGAAGCTCACTGACACCTTACATTGTAATGCTGTTGCCAGGCCACTTTGCACACAGGGATAGGAATCTATCTTACGTAATGGAACAGAGTGCATTTCAGGATTCCTTAGGGTTCACTCCCTTTAATCCTGGATGCTCACAGCATCTCTGTCATACATTACCATTTCATTCAGAACTTACAGCACCTTAGTATTTCTGTCTTCCCTTCCTTTTCCGCGCAGGCATAAAGTAAGGCAGCTTATGGTTGCCAGCAATGATGAGTCAGGGGGTGGTCATCTTCCTGTATGGAACCATGCTGTGTCAATGTCACAATTATAGCACGTGCCAGCATTATACATGACAAACACACTGCATATGCATCAACCAAATGTCAATGTCACAAACTCTAAAGGGAGTAGTCCTTAGTTGAGCAAATTCAGATGTCAGGGTCTATGAGTACAGTTAATCAATGGCATCATCCAAAATCAATCCAGGGGCTTGGATACAGATCATGAGGCACTTGGAGCAATTAGGGTCAGGCCTTATCATTACAGTCTGATCAGTCCTGTATGTCCAGTGAAATCAGTCTGGGATTAGCAGTAAATCAGTCTGGGAGCACCTCATATATTAGTCAAGGCCCTGTTCACTCATCAGTTGGGACTGTCTTTCCAAGTCAGTCAGGGAAGCAGATCATAGTCAGCTTGGAGATGTGTTTGTTGGATTTCAAAGCAGGGTTATCAGAGATCAGTGCTGTGGTGGGGATGTCAATTGTGGGGAATGGAGGCAGCAAGCTGAGATACAGAGAAGACAATAATTGTGAAGGAGGGCATCTCAACATATAACAGTGGGAGACATTACAAAAATGCACTGCGAGAGTGGGGTCATTAGTAGTTACCACTATTCTGCCTTTGATGGGGTGAGCAGTGCATAACTATATCTGACCTAACTTAGCTGTATGCCTGAGGCCAAGGGGTAAAGTGGGGAGAAGAGCAGTTCAGTGAAAGTCTTGGGTGGGAACATGAAGAAGACCAGGGAGTTGACAGGGACAGCAAAAAAAGACATGAAATGTTGAGGAGGTAACCTAGATTGAC